TAAACTTCAGCTATATCAAAGCCTTTAGTGTAAAACTATGAAACCACATGATAGCTAGAAGGTAATATAGGTGTGTACTTATTTGATTTGGGGGTGGGGGAGTTTTTCTTTCAACAGTTAACCCTACTGAAATGTACACGTAAAAGTGGTTAAGATAGTAGATTTTGTTATATATGTTTTACAATTTGGCCCGGCTGGTGTGGCTCAGTTGGTTGAGCCTTTAAATACTATCTGATGTTTAACATACATGTGTTACTTTTATACTTAAAAATATAGGGACAAATCCTCTGGCCACTGTGGCTCAGTTGGTTAGAGCATCACCCCATGCACTGAAGGGTTGCGGGTTCAATTCCAGGTCAGGGCACATACCCAGGTTGCAAGTTCGATCCCAGGTCAGGGTGCAACTGATCAATGTTTTTCTCTCACATCGATGTTTTTCTCTCTCTCTCTAGAATCAATTAAAAACATATCCTAGGGTGAGGATTAAAAAAATATATATGTGAATAATAAAATTGTATAAATAACAGGATTCTAACTTTAAAAAAATGCAACAGATTATAAAGGCCTAGAAAAAGATAAAGAAATACCCAAGTACTAATTGTGGTTTTTCACTAGGTGGTGAATTATAGGTGATTTTTTATTTTCTTCTTAGCATTTTTCTGTATTCCTGAATTTTCAAAAATATAAAGCTACAGTTAGAAAACTAAAAATATATTACCATTATAAAAAAATAGAAGTCTTTCTACAGTGAACATTATGAATTTTATTTTACATATATACTCTAACACATATCTACCTTCTCCTCCAAGAACAGATATTTGAGGCACTATATCTGTTTTCTTGTTATCAGCTAACTTTGTGCTATTGGTCCAGATGCCAATTCTGGTAGATGGGAAGCCTTTGGGGTTATTGTTCACTCAGCAAAGTATTAAATGAGATTTCCATGAGTTCTATTAAGTTATAAGTTTACACAATCTAGACTTCTCATTTTAGTGTCATCCTTTAAAAAATGAATTTCATTGCAAAAATTATTTTGATGTATTTACCCTTAAGATAAAACATAACAGATTTACAGCTGGACAGGAGTTAATGCAGGAAATACCGCGTAATGATCAGCCAAGTAGGACTGCTTCCGAAACTGTAAATCAAATGCCAGAAACACATAGCTGGACAGGATTTAAGACGGCTCCTTATTGCCTCTCGCAGCTCACACTTACCTCAAGCAATGGAGAATCTTCAAAGTGACTCCTGGCTGGATATTACACAGAAAAGGTGGCCAAGGTTAAAAACGTGATATGACTTGCTATTCCTCTCCACCTCTACCCCAAATAAAACAATCAAAAACAAAGACTAGAGGCTCACTACCTAAACCCACAATCCTAGGAAATCAACTATGATGAATTACAGGTTTTCCTGTCCCTTCTACATAAGTCCCCATTCCTTCCTCTGGCCCTAGGCTGTCAGAGAGTTGGCTATTTTTGACAATTTCTGTTTAAATCCAGGTGTGGGCATGTGACCAAAGCCTGGCCAATCTGTATATTCTAGGTTGCTGACCACAGGAAAGTCCACGTGAACTGAGTTAATCCAGAGGCTGAATCAACAGACATCTTCAAGTGAATTACTAGAAAATAAAAAAGTGATTTTCACTGAGATTGCCAGGCATGAGAACACCTGTGTGCTGGGAGCTTCTCAGTGTCATGAGGAAGGAGGCCCACCAGAGAAACTTTAATATGTCAAAAAAAAAACTCCAAACTAGTCATTATTATAAAATACAGTTTAATTTCACCCTTTTCATTTACCACAAAATTTTAGAAGTACCAATATACAGAGAAGCACAAGTGAACTGGAAAAACGCTAAAAACTGTATAAAAGACAAACCCAAACTCAAGAATGCATGAGCTGTGACACACGTACCATGCACTCTCAAGTGAGTTCAGAAAGCAGATTCCAGGTCAGATGGGTTTTCTTTCTAAGTTCAGCATTTTACTAGACCCACATCTGGAAAGCTCCCTAAACCAAAGTTCTTATATTATGCAGGAAGAATCTTCTCTTAAAAAGCATTTCTCACAAAATAACTCATACCAGAGAGGCAGATGTATTCTGACACAAAAGACATAAATGCCTCTAGTAACTTGGAAATCCATCTAATGAAAATAAAGCACTTTTGCCCAGCTGTGTGGCTCAGCAGTTGAGCATCAGCCTATGATGCAGGAGATTTCAGTTTGATTCCTGGTCAGGGCACATGCCCGGGTTGCGGTCTCAGTCCCAGTCCCCAGCAGGGAGCGTGCAGGAGGCAGCCGACCAATGACTCTCTCAACATTGATGTTTCTCTCTCTCTCCCTCTCCCTCTCCCTTCCTCTCTCTGAAATCAATACACACACACACACACACACACACACACACAGCCAGCCAGCAAGCACTTTAGAAATGGAAAAGTGACACCTAGCGGCCACTTAGCAATTTTTCTTTATGGCTTCTGATTATTGTAGCTGTCAGCCTTGCTCTGCCCATGACACCCTGCTTGGCAAATCTGAATCCCCAATTCTAGAGCCCAACAATGACCCGGTTGAGTGGCTGATACCTCTTTAGAGCAGGATCTGAAACTGGACGGCACCAAACATTGTCTGACAACTAGTGAGTGGCTCTTTCATTTCCCTGTGCCTCTGACTCTAAAGAGATTCCTCAAAGAACGACATAAATACAGCCTTTCCCCATGGTAACACTGTAATTAAATACTTTAATCCCATTTACTCACCAAAAGTCTATTCTGTACTTTCCTGTTTGCCTTTTGGTTTCTCAATGGATTTCCAAATTTAGTAACTACCATAGTGTGTCAACATATACCTCAAGTTTTATTTGACTTCAGGCTATCATCCTATAATAAAATATTTGATCACATTTCCAAGTTTACCAGTTTTTAAAAAGTTTTAAGTTTGATACATGGATAGAGGTCCAGTTATTTGTACTAAATCAAAGATAAATACACAATTGTGTTTTAAACCATAGCATTTACAGGTAAGTATCATATTCATGGTATAACCTTTGGTCTACTTCAATAATATTCACTTAATAAAATGTTCTAGAGCAGATCTGTCCAACAGAAATATGTGTGCAACATGTATAATTTTAAATCTTATAGTAGCCACATTAGAAAAGTCAAAAGAATTTAATGTTTTAATTCAGTAAATCCAAAATGTTATTTGAACATGGAATCAATATAAAATTGTTGATATTTTATATTCCATTTTTATACTGTCTGAAATATGACATGAAATTTATATTTACAGCCCACCTCAATTTAAATTAGTTACATTTAAAGTGTTCGGGAGCCACATGCAGCTGGTGGCAATCACACGACAGCACAGTTCTAGAGTCTGACCCAGTCCTATGGATTAGAATCTCAGAATCAGAACTGGAACTCAGAGATCAAATCTCTTGTTACAAATGAGGAAACTGAGGCACAGAGAGTTTAAATAGCTTGCTTGCAGTCACACAACTAAATTTAGGCTCTTTTGAGTCTACGCACTCCTCCCACCCACTACTCTACTGTAGGTAATTCTTAGGGTTAAAAAAAAAAAAAATGACAACTAGAGTACTCTTTTTATGATGCTTCCATTCAATGTATAGAGATTTTTAACCAAGATGCAAGAAATTGGTAGGAGAAAAAGTAATACCGAGTAAACCATAAAAATATCTGCCACTCCTAATACCAATCAAATGCAAATAGAATGTGTTTTGAAGAAAACACTAAGCTTGAGAGAGCTACAGTATCATACATATGGGTTGGATTCTGGGTCCAGGGCAAGATCTACAGAAAAATATTAGAGTGAGTTATTAAAGGATCAAAGCATCCAATTGGCTATCTGCCAACTCGTCTATGGAATAACTCCTCTTGCAGTAGCTTATCCCTGGACACTCTGCCTCTCGGATCCTTGAATCAGGAAGGTTTGTCCCATCTGCTTTTGAGGCCATCCAGCCACAACCCATCCTGTAACCACTGGCTTAGGTCAACCCTGAGGCCAAGGCTGACCTGCAACAGTTCAGACCCCTATGTTATGTCTGTAAGGCAGGCCCCTCTGCCCGAGAGAGAACAGATGTGATCGTTGATGCTTCCTCCGACTTCACGATCATGCTTGGGCTGCTGCAAACCAATCTCCCCCAATCTTGTAGGGTTTCTTGGGCTTATTCTAAACCTGGCTGTCTCAAGTCCTAAAGTGTCAGAACCAGGCATGGTGCCAACCCCTGACATCGCTGGAGCATTGTATCAGTTCGAGAGGACAATGTACCAACACATCCTTGCCCACAGGGCCACTGCAAACATCATGCTTGAAGGGAACATCTGCTTTTGGTTACTGCCTGTTAGTATGTTTGCCATTAACGCATCTGATGTAAGTTCACTCTATTACTTACAGGCTAAAGAAATATGCAAGATCGAAATGATGCTTTGTTATGGTGAGAGACTAAGGACAATCAGCTGGAAAGGTATAGAAATCTCTCTCATCTAGAGAAAGAGAACTGGATCTGAACCCCACATCTGAGCTTCAGGGTTTCCCCACCAGGTTCCCAGCCTATCTTATTTTCATTTGTGGGGCACAAGGGAGAATATATGGGAACATACTTGGTAAACTAGAAAGAGCTCTTAAGTATAAGGTGTTAATGGAAATATGATCTTCAAAATGGTAGATGTAGCTACGGTACTTTAAATATTCTTAATTCTTGCACTCAATTTGAGCCACCTCTGGATTAATTACTGGTTTAAAAAATGCTCTCCAAATTTTTAATTATAGCTAAAAAATTAGTTTTTAAATTCTTTCTCACTGCCTCATGTTTTTAATGGAGTTGCCATGTACGTAACTGCCTTTGATTATGTGCAGTAGTAACTGTAATTGCCTAATAATCTAAAAGGCGATGACTAGTTCTTGGGTCAGTTCATTAATCATTTAACCAGTCAGCCCACTGCCCTCCCAAATGTGTAAAAAGAAACTGGTTTAAACACATTAAACACTTAAAAAATATATGAATTTAATTGTGTCTTTACACAAAACATTTAATCTGCCTGGGCCTGTTTCTTCCTCTAAGATAATCAGTTAATACATACCATTTCAACATAAAAAACCTGTCCTATCTGTAATGAAAATCTTGAGTGTTACATTAAGATTAAATATGCAAAAATTAATCACCAATATCTAGGGCCCAAAATCTTTCCTTTTCTGTAATCAAAGGTGAAAGTCTCTCAACTTTTCTTTTTCTGAGTTTTAAATAAAAATCATCTCATTTAACATCCATCTCCAAGTGCTCAACTGGGCATAAATGTCCTGGCTTCAGGCTTGCCCAAGTCTACAAAGACCACACACAGTATTCATTGTGATCAGGACTCTAAATTGCATTGTCATTAAATGTTTAAGTATTCACCGTTTTCTTAAAAAATACATAAGCCCTATCCTCAATTAATATACAAAAAATGGAAATGTTCCAAATTACACAAATCTACTATTATAAGTCAATTAAATGACTCTTAGACCAAAGAAAACAGCCAACAATATTAAATTTCCCTAACTAAAAAAAAAAAACTGCATCAAAAAAATAAAAACAAAACCCAAACAAGATGTATGTGATACTCTTGGTTAGAAACATTTTAGCAAAAAAAATAGCAGCTAGTGGGTTTAAAGCCAGTTCGCTGAGTAAAGGGGTCTGTGGAAAACTCTGAGCAGTTCCATTTAAAGGAAAACATCACATTTCCGCAGACCCCATGAAAGGAGGTGCAAATCTATAAAAATTGGTAGACCCTTCATAAGATAAACAGTATCAATACAGTACAGAAGAATATACAGTTTTTGTAAAGGAAATCCTGGAAAGCATTTCTCCTGTTTGAAGTGAAAAATGAAATGCTAAAGTGTCCAGTGGATGTCGCTAAAGTCCTCGGGGTCTCCCAGGCCCCCCTCTGCTTCTAAGTAATTCATGAAGGCAGCTATGGCTGTGTCGTCATTGTCACACAGGGCATCAAAATCCAGCTGGGCACCACCACCTAGAGAAACAAAATGCAGGCCCGTGTAAGTACATTTGAAGGTTAAAAATTATGATCAAAAAGGCAAAGTACAGCTAGAATACCACACAAAACATTTTTTAGGGCAAACTATAGGTCTTAAATTGCAGAAGCCAGATAAATTTTTAAATGGGTCACCTATTTTTATAAAAGTCTGCTGTCAGATCAATGGCACTTACCCACCTGATATACATAAGTGAGCTAGTCTATGAGGAATCGAACCATGACCTCTTGGTGCCTGGGTCCGCGCTCAACCACTGAGCCACCCCTGCTGGGTAAGTAGCATTTATTTTAAAATCAAGAGTGTGGCCCTAGCCGGTTTGGCTCAGAGGTTAGAGAGTTGGCCTGCGGCCTGAAGGGTCTGGGTTCGATTCCGGCCAGGGACACGTACCTCGGTTGCAGGCTCCATCCCTGGCCCAGGTTGGGGAGCACGCGGGAGGCAACCAATCGATGTCTCTCTCTCACATCGATGTTTCTCTCTTTCTCTTTGAGGATTAAAAAAAAAAAGTGAGAGTATGATTATTGCATTTAGGATTTTGAATGGAAAAAATCTTAGTTTTAAACTTGTTTGTGCTCTAGAAATCTCCTATGCCTGATAACATAGTGATGAAGGAGTTTCTGGAAAAAGAAAACGGCGGGCAGCTGCCAAAGACGACTTACCCAGGAGTGGTTCATGGCTGTGGGGAGCCACAGTGCTGCGGTTCTGCCTTGTTGCTTCTAGTTCCTCTATCTCAGGACTTAGCAGAATCAACTCCTTATTTGACATCTGAAAAGACAGAATAATACACAGCAAGGTTCCTACTAGAATGAAATACTTCTTCGCAGTTATCGGCTCCGGGCCTGCTGGCAGCACCACCCGCCACCGCGAATACGCGGCTCGAGCTTACTGAGCGCTCTGGGCTCCAGCGCCCCCCATGCCCCGTCTCCTTTCATTTTTAAATGTTGCGAGGTAGCTGTTTTACAGGCCAGGAACCTGGCTCCAGCACTTCACTCTTCTTTTTTTTTTTAAATTTAACTTTATTGTTAAAAGTATGACAGATGTCCCCTTCCCCCCACTGGCCCTCCTCCCCCTCCCCAGGCCTTCCCCGAGCTACTGTCCGAGTCCATGCGTTCGGCGGATATGCATGTAAGTTCTTTGGTTAATCAACCTGACTCTTAACCACTATTCCTATTGCCTATTAAACCACAGATTAGCTAGAAAAGGGTTCATTTATTGTTTTTGATAGGATGGCTTCTATTTTCAGGAGAAATAATCAACAAAGAGCAAATTTTATGTTCATTTACTTCATCATTATTACCACTTACATTTGTACTTACATTCCTGCAGTTTACAGTGTGAATATCTTTCATTAAATCTGTTGGACTTGAATCGCCAAGGGATGCCGAAGACTGTAACCTTTAAAAAGTGACACATAAAACACCTTCTCTACTTATATATTTTTAGAAGAAAATTTTCTCCTCTGAATATATCATAATCCGATAAAAATACAGTGAAGAAACATGAGACTGAACACACGACCGTTTTCACAACAGACCAACTTGTTCGGTGCCAGACTTGTTTTTGACTATGGAGAGCTGAAAAACACTCCTCAGTAAACAGAAAAATAAAATCTGAGGTAAAAGCCGGTAAGTAAATCATGTTACTTACACTACAGCGTGTGGCGAAGTAATAGAATAATATAACACTTAATTTAAAAAAGGCATTCACATCAAGAATCAGTTCCTTATCAAGATACCAAACAGCAGAACTGAAAGTAAAGAAAGATTTCGTAACTTTCTGTGATCTTTAAGTAGAAAATGTTTCACATTTTTACCGTAATATGGTCATCTGTGGGGAAAAAAATCAATGAGACACATAATGACATAAACATAATCATACACACTGATCACTAATCCCTTCATGAGACAAATATGTAAAACTGACAGTACCATATAACATATTAAATGTTCAATTATGTGAAACACATAATGACATAAACATAACTTTATGTCTTTATGTATTCCCAAATTGGCAGCTGACAAGAAATTATAGAGGGAGAAATTAATACAGAAATGGAATGAATTAGGTCGGAAAACAGAAGAAAAGATGAGTGGACTGTCTTGGGGACTTTTCACAGGACACTCAATGTAAAGACCTTGGCTGGCTCCTCATTCTGTGCTTCATGGCTCAAGATCACCACCTGCTCACCTGGCTTTGGCTTAAAGATGAAGATGACCCCTTCCCTTATTCCAGATTCATCTTCTGAAACATGGCTTTCTTCATGCTAGTCCCCGGGCAGGAATCTGCTATTTAAGTCCCTCCCCTACCTGACTTCACCTTAAACTCCCCACTGCTCTCAGCAACCCAGCTCCTCTCTCAGTCAAGTCTTATTCTCTGAAATCGCTGAGCTTTCTCCCACCCACCGACCCACCCACCCCCACACACTGCTGAAGTGCTTCCCCACTGCCTCCTGGCCATGCTAATGGTGCCCAACTGCCAATGTCTGGCTTAATTTCCACCCCCCTTAAAATGCCGCTCCAGCATATATGGTCAAGTGATTTTCAACAAGGGTGCTGAGACCATTCAGCGGGGGAAAGAACAGTCTTTTGAACAAACAGTGCTGGGAAAACTGGATATCCACATGCAGAAGAAGGAAGTTGGGCTATTATCTTACACCACATACAAAAATTAACTCAAAGTGGATCAAAGACCTTAAGCTATAAAACTCCTAGCAGAAAATATAGAGAAAAGGCTTCCTCATGACACTGGATTTGGCAAAGATTTCTTGGATGTGCTACCAAAAGTGCACATAACAAAAGAAGAGATATAGTCAAAATTTATCAAAATTCAAAACTTATGTGCATCAAAGGACACTATCAACAGAGTGAAAAGGGAACCCGGAGACTGGGAAAAAAATATTTACAAATCACATCTGATAAGGGGCTAATACCCAGAATGAAGACCAACACAACAATTACAAATAAATAAATAACCTGACTGGAAAATGGGCAAAGGACCTAAATTGACATTTCTCCAAAAAAAAAGATAACACAAATGGCCAATAAGCACATAAAAAGATTCATAACAACACTGATCATTACCACAAACCAAAACTATAATGAGATACCACTTCACACCCATTAGGATGACTATTATCAAAAAACAGAAAATAAGCATTGGTGAGAAATTGGAGACCCTTGTGCACTGCTGGAGAATGTACAATGGTGAAACTGCTGTGGAAAACATAATAGCAGTTCCTCAAAAACTTAAATAGAATTACCGTATGATCTAGCAATTCCGCTTCTAGGTGTACACCCAAGAACTGAAAGCAGGGACAAGACTTCTCTCTGTGCACCCACATTCACGGCATCATCATTCACAACAGCCCCAAGGTGGAAGCAACCCAGGTACCCATCAAGACATGGCACACATGTTACTACTAGTGACTTTTTTCAATTTAAATTATTTTTAATTAAAAAAATTAAAAATTCAAACTGTACAAAAAGAAAAATAAGCAAAACTTTCTTCTCTTTTCTACATCTTCTATCCCTCAAAACCTAGTCCTAATACGGGAGGTAACAGATTCTGAACTGTCTGAACAAATTACTCATATTGTTATATATCATCTAGTTATAAGTTCCATCTCTACAATTTCAAAATCTAAAACACCTTGAAAATTGTAAAGTTACTCATAATTCATTTAGCAACAAAATCTGAATTGATCTGAACTCAGCAAAATCTGACCTGACTGGTGTGAAGCTCATTTTTTTTTAATTCCACTCTGTCTTACTCACTACAAGTATTTACAAAACCTCATTACAAAAATATATTTTTAAGCTTTACTGTGGAAAACTTCAAACAGATATAAAAGTATGATGAGATCGGATACACCCACCAAACAGCTTCAGTCATTATCCTTCCCCAATCCTGTTTAATATATACCCCAAACCCCTGCCTCCCCTGTCCTCCCAGACACTTTACCATTTAACCTGTAAATACGTCATTGCAGAAATAAAGATTTAATTGATTACGGGGTGCTGCCCATGATGTTCTCTGGGGGTATTACACATACCTCTGTAAAAACTGAATTCCAAAATACTCTCCTTCTAAACTCTGAAGAAATTCTGAGTTCAAAACCTATCTTGTCCCAAGAGTTTTAGATGGGCAATTATGGGCCTGTATACACACACACACACACACACACACACACACACACACACA